AGAAAAGGTTGTTTGCAGACCTATCTTTTCTAAGACTAGTAAGCACGTACTATCAATTTATGGTACCGAAATCTTCGAGCGTTTACGTTCTTTTGCAGTCAGGTTTTAAAAATAAACCGGTACTAAACTAACCAGAATCATTCATTTATACGCAAAAAAGTAACTGTAATAATAATGATCTTATTTTTGAAACAAGAAAGTGTGTGTGAATAGACGGATTTCTATCCTGTTGTCGATCAATAGTAGTAAGACTTATCAACATGTTGTAATCGACATGGACGAAACTGTTTTTTAAACAGCACACAGTAGAGTTAAGTTATTTAATCAAAAATGGAATTATCAGAAAAGAAATGAAAATTTTAAAATTATTGAGTTTTACGAAACTGTTTGTCCAACATCAGGAAGTCGTCATGAGAGTGACCGTAAATGGGATCATCAGACCAAATTTTTTAATTATTTGGCTCAGTGCAACAATGATAAAAGTGCCATCATTATTGTATGATTTACCTAAAATGTTTCTGGAAATCTCAGTACAGATATTTGATACTGAAAATATATATAAAAATTATATAAAATCAATTAAAAATTAAAGTAGTATGTTATGAACGTCGTCGTGGATCCCATTTTACTTCTTACTTTACCAGCACAAATGACGTTGATATACTAATCACATTCATACGAGCGAATCGTAATTTTTTTCCGCAATTGGTTAGAAAAACGAAAGTGTATCTAGAAAAAATCTGAAACTTAAATCTTATTTCTCATCGTTTACTGAGTCTGTGGTAAACATTTTCCAACTATCGGACTCATTTTGGCTGAGATATCCGAGATTCTACGTCAAAGAAACAACTTGTGTTCTTTGACGCAGAAAACTTTTTATCAGACTTTGCACTATAATGCGCGTGAAAGTACATGTATGACACACCAACAGATAGATCTCAGCACGGAGAACAGCACTGCACGTTTTTTTGTAGCTTCATTCTGCAGTATAATGCGAAATTTCACAGGAAGATAGAAAGATACAAAGCTGAAATTTCAGTCATTCCTAGAAGCTCTTGTAAGCTATTTAAAGGGTGAATTGAATAGTTAGTTTTTCTTTAGTAAAATACATGATTAAAAATGTGTCTCTAGTGTGAAAAGACTCGTAGCTACATCAAAACAGAGGGTTTGCCAATCAGGTTTGGAAGTAGCCATCCCTGATATTTTGACTATAACTCCGTCATTTTTTATCCGTTCCGTATACTGTATACTATGATGGGACGGTTGAAAATGTAAACGTGCGTGCTATGCGACAATTAGACAACTGCCAGTTGAGCAATTGAATGAAGTCTTTTAAACTTTTTATGTTCGGCTTCCGAGCAAATTATGGCAAAATTTTTCATTTCTCTAAAAGATTTCAAAGGCACATCGTCTGATGCAGTTTTTGACGCTGATTCTAAATATCACCTTACTTTTGCTTTTAAGTGAAGTCTCAATGACTAAAATCTCAAAAAACTGAAAACTCGCGGTTAGTCGGCCATCTTGTTTTTAAGTTTTGGAACTTTTGCACCACTTTTAAAACAAAGGTTTTGCGCTCAGTTTGTGGAAAATTGAATTCTCTATCGCATGTGACCTTCGAATTCTTAGCTAAATTCTGTTTACAGTGTCGAAGGTGGCATTTTCTCGAAAATTTTTATCCTTCGAAATCCGAATTCTCTAATTCATGTGGGTTTTAAGCAGTCACTTCCTACTTCAGAAAAATTAGGAACTATGTAATTTTGTTTACTTTTTATCAGGCTTTCGAATGAGATGTTACTCGAACAGAACAGATAAAAAATAGCAGAGTTATAGTCAAAATATCAGAGATGGCTACTTTTCGCAAATTGACGATGGTGCTCATTTTGTAAATCACAATATACAGTATACGAGTTGTACAAAACTTAAAATTATTGTTTTATTGTTCTCATATAATTAAAGAAACCACTTGATTTTTCTTCTCTGAAGAAATTAACAACAAATTAAAGTAATCAAAGAGTTAATTAGTTAATTTTTTCCGAGAAGAAAAGTCAAGTGGTTTCTTTAATTATATGAGAACAATAAAACAATAATTTTAAGTTTTGTACAATTACATTTTTTACGCATTTTTTTACACTCATTCCGTTTCTATGAACCGATTATTTCTAAAAATGTTTTGTATTCTCTTACTTCCATTTTGGCTCACTATCACAGAAAATTTCGCAACGATATTTCATCAACTCACTGAGATGCGTCAAAAGTCAAAAATATCCATTTTTTCGTTGACTCATCAGAACATGGAATGGAACAGAAAATGGATTTTTTTAACGAAAGAAAGAAAAATGAAAAAAAGTAGCACGTTTAGTAGAGCTTGCGATTCTCCAACCATATGATTTACTTCTAGGTTTGTTTACTTTTTTCCTTCTCGCACATGCACAAAACACTTTTATACCAAATAAAGCTACAAGTCAAAGACGGTTCTCGTGCCTTAAGGAAACATTTTTTAGAAAAAATAAAATGACCAAAAGGTAGAGCGTAAACAAGCGCAAACCAAGTTTCGACTAGGTATGCACCGGTGTTGGTTAACGGATACCGAAAAACTCTCAAACATTTTTATCTAAGGTTTTAAAATGGTATAAACAGTGAGCACATAACATCTGTTTACTATTGTCAAAGAAACATCTGATTTTATCTGTACCTGTTTTAGTCAACCGACAATCGAAAAACTAAAACCAGGAAGAAGCACACACAAATCTACATCTTGACTTAGCGAACGAATTTTATATCTGGTATTTGCTCCTTCGTGAATGGAGTAAGTCATATGTTTCCTCTTCTGATCATCTGTGTTGTGTCCTACGGTTTCTCGAGTTATATTTAGCTATCGAGACGCAAAATTTCACAATAATACTAACGAGGAGACCTCTCAGGATGTCCAGCGCCATCTTGATCTATAACCCATTCGTTCGCTGCTGGGTATATTATTAGGCGTTACACGGGATGCTCAAAAGACATAGTGCTATGAAGCTTTCGGAAGAAATTGTATTAACTACCGATTGATCATCCAAAAATCTCGTAGTACATATATGAGGTAAAACTTGTGGTAAACAAACGCTGAGACTGTTTTCCACTTCTGTTTCAGCGCATAGCTTAACTTTAACAACTGTCTCCTTCTACTCTTCTACCGTTTGATTCTACTGATCCTCACGAGAATTTCGCTGTCATTAACGATCAACAATATTCATCTGAAAACTTCTTGCCATAACAAATGCAGGCAGCTGAAATATTGACTCTGCATTTGCCACTAAAAGCTGAGGTTACAATCACGTTTTTTGTTCTTTTCATATAAACAACTTGACGTTTTTGTCATTATTTAAGAGAGTTTAAGAAAAATGCACTTAATAATTCGTAAGGATCATTTATTTTCACTCAACTTCAAAGCATGAACTTTTAACATGAATCGACAAACACAAACATTTATTCAACTTTTCTTTCAAAAAATAAGCATTATGTGTGTATGTCCTTGTCTATTACTAAAATATCGACATTGCGTTCATTGACAGAAAAACATAATCAGCAGCGGATACGCAGTACATGTGTATACTAATCATTTTTTCTAGAGAGGCTGAGATGAACGTAATACTAATGATGTTTCTGATTTTGATTGGAATATTGGTCCAACTGATTCAGACTACCAACTGTAAACAAACGCTGAATTCGAGTCGCTCGTCACTGAGTTTATTCACTTGTGTTTTCTAGCTCCCTGTGGTCCAATGTACTCACAATGTGATGGATTAACTTGGAACGGAATAAGGACATGCTGTAACGGATCTACGTGCCAGTACAATAACGACTGGTACTCACAATGCCTACCGGGTGCGTCTGCACCCCCATCGAGTTCATCAGGCACTACGTCTAAACCAATTACGGCAGGTAAAACGAAAATTACTTGACTTTGTATAAAATATTGTCCGTTGCTTTAAGATGACTCATTGATTTCGCCATTTGTACTCGATGGGTAATCTCTCGGGGCGCGTTACTGCATGCACGTTCAAACATTTAATCAAAAATTAGGGAGAAAGAAACGTGTCCCCACGGATATTCCGGAAAACAATATACAGCGCTCACGGACGCTTTTTTTTCATCCCGAGAGTTAATGGATGCGTCTTTTATTAAATTTGTTAACAGAACACGTGTTTTTCTGTGGAACGCAGCAGAGATGGTCAAATCACAAGTTTTTCAGTCTCAGTGAAGTTTCAATCATCAGAGCCATGAGTCTCAGTCTCAAAAATTTCATTCACTATCAGCCGGATATTTTCTCTATCACATTTATTCACAATATGTGTTTTTTTGTTCCACGAGAAATAGTTCTTCTACTAACTACGCTATACTTTGGATCAATTTTATTCATATATAGAATGAATAATTCTCTAACTTCCAGTGATTCAAGGCATTTATTATCAACTATCACATGATTTTTTGAAACATGACGTTTGAAATTTTAATATATTTTTTTCTCACAAATTGGTTTATTCTATAATAGTTAGATCGTCTCGACGGATTATACATATAGCATGCATACAATCATTATTATGATTGTATTTCAAATCACCGAAAAAGTTTTCAAATGCTTTTTTATTTAAAACTGACGACAGCATACTAACTTTACTTTAGCGTTACAGTTGTGAGAGAAGGAAGAAGAGAATAAACAGCTAATAGACTAACATGTAATATAAAAACGAACTCAAGAAGAAGAGAAACAGGCGGTTAGAATTATCCACGTGGAAGTCTCATCTTTTTCTGTTATCCGTTACAGTGTGATGGAAAGAAGACGAAGAAAATTGCTTCCATTTTCGTTTTCTCTTTCTGCTCTGTATGTTTTTATAAAAAATCAGTCATGTAATCTAAATGATCAGTCATTCGCAAACACTCAGCCATGAAAAAAACCTCATCAGTCGTGACAGAGACTTGATCATCTCTGGCACAGAACAGAAGAACTACTTTGTGGAATGCAACGTCCCTCAAAACATGAATTTTTTTTCAGTATGTGCTGTCATATACGCGCAGTGCGGCGGACAGGGTTGGACGGGTTTCACAACATGCTGTTCGGGCTCCATATGTCAATTTAGCAACGCGTATTATTCCCAGTGTCTTCCTTCAGCTACTGCATCCTTATCGAGCTCATCAAGAGCTACAACTAAAGAAAGTACAACTTCTGTTACCACCAGCAAATCAAGTTCAACCTCTGTTACCACAAGCAAACCGACCGCTGCAGGTAAATCAGCAAAACTTGGCTCTGCACATAGTAACTTGAATGCACATTGTGACACTTTAGTATATACCAGTACTCCAGTGTTTAGTTCCCGGAAAAGACTTACTTGTATGGGAATTTATATTCTCGATTTCGTTCTGGCTCAAGATTACAGCTTAAACCGAAGACTTACTTGAATCAGTTGCCCGCAGCCCACTATATGCAAGACCAGGTGTGGTCATTTTCTTGAAACTACTATGTACCTAAATTACACGAGAAAGAGGATGTATTTCATATCTGACGATGTTGCATCGAACAAAAGGGAAACGAGAATGTATGATAGTTTTTCGTTTGAGCATGATAATAAGGACAGTTTGGGCTATCGAACAGAGCTACACGGCTTAACACTTTTCCGATATATTTGTACCGTGCTTACTTCACGGCGCAGGAAAGCCACATGGTTTCGATGTTATGTAAACATTTTGTAAAGAGTCAGTTTTTGTGGAATTTCAGTCGATCTCAGAGCTCAATATTAAACTTTTGTATTCTTTGATCCTATATTCACATCCAGGTAACAAGATTAGATGGCGAATAGATAGGAATCCTTCCCTAGTTATTGATTCTCGTATAATTTAAAAATAAGGGGGAATAGGGTTCGGATAAGGAGCAGAGAATTATCTGACAAGAATATTAACCGTTTCTTACAAGATTGTTCTGTAAAAGAACCGGCACGAAAGTGGCAAAAATTCGGTATCAGTAACAATCTTATAAGAATCAGTAAGAAGTTTCTTCATATATACTCCCTTTTTCTAAGCATATGGCAGAAAAATATGACACATCGCATAGAATCGCTAAAATAAATCTCTACCATTTATGTTCAAGGTCGCGCCGAAAGTTCTGCCCGTTTTAGTTTTCTATCTATAGCTGATTGTCCGAAAAATGGTATTCTACATTTATTTTATTTGTCTTTAGCTGAGAAATGCTTGGCTGAAATAAAAAATGATAATAAGTTAGAAAAGACAGGTTGATTGGACTAACCATTGTCATTATTATCTTCTTGTTACTGTCGTGCGCACTTCTTATATAAGCATTTTGCTAGAATTAATAAAACATTTTCGTTTTTCAAACCTGCACACTTTTGTTGGTGTTTTCATACAATATATTGCCCTCAAAATATGAATTTTTTTCAGTATGTGCTGTCATATACGCGCAGTGTGGCGGACAAGGTTGGACGGGTTCTACAACATGCTGTTCGGGCTCCATATGTCAATTTAGCAACGCGTATTATTCCCAGTGTCTTCCTTCAGCTACTGCATCCTTATCGAGTTCGTTAAGTGCCACAACCAAAGCAGGTACAACGCCCGGTTCGATGAATGACGGACGCGCTGATGGAGTGACCACTCGTTACTGGGATTGCTGTAAAGCAAGCTGTGCGTGGTCGGGGAAAGCGAGCGTAATAAATCCAGTTCAAACGTGTGAGGCCGATGGTGTCACGGTGGTCGATGTCGATGAACAAAGTGGGTGCGGTGGAGGAAAAGCGTACGTGTGCAACAATCAACAGCCATGGAACATCTCCACCCAGTTGTCGTATGGATTTGCTGCCGCTCACATTGCCCGACAGGATGAATCAAATTGGTGTTGCGCTTGTTACTCGCTGGTGTTCACATCGGGAGTGATCATTGGTAAAGAGTTGATCGTTCAAGTGACGAACACTGGCGGCGATCTGGGTGACAATCAATTCGATTTACAAATGCCTGGTGGTGGCGTAGGTATTTTCAACGGTTGCACATCACAGTTTCCCAGTACTCCGACATCTGCGTGGGGTGAACAGTACGGCGGTGTCACACAGCGATCACAATGTGCACAGCTCCCGAATGTTTTGCAGAGCGGGTGCTACTGGCGTTTTGACTGGTTTCAAAATGCCAATAATCCAATGATGAGATTCAAACAAGTCACGTGTCCCGATGTTTTAATATCAAAAACACAGTGTAAACGACAGTAGTTTCAGAAATCTTCTCCTTCTTGAACGTTATCGATATTCTGCATTACTTGCCTTCAATTGCGAAAACTATTTCGATATTCACAGTCAGATTTCCCCTCTAAACTCATCTGTACACCTTCCGACTCGCTCCGGTGCCAGATACGTTGCAAAGTTGTTATATGTCCAGGTATTTATATTCTCTACATTCTTTCTGATATCGAATATGGTGATTCGCCATACTTTTTATGCGGTGAATCAAAATGACTATTCATTTAGAACATCGTGACCTCTCCAATTTATCTCTCTGCAACTGATTGAAAAACATGCAGTCTCTAGTTAACATGTCGCCTTCTAACATTAAAAGTAACATTGTTCATGACCCAACGCCCCCGATGTTTGACTATGTTCAGTTCGTAGGCTGTGTCTAGTTGTATGCGCATCTATCTTTGTTTCCTCTATAAGTCATGTCTCATGGTACATTTTCTTTTTGTGAAATTTCGCAAGATTTGGCAATCGTTTTGAAGAAAGAAAATGTCTGCTAACTTATACGTGAAAGGGATTTTGTCACAAAAGTTGCAAAAGTTTCTTCAAATAGGTATGCAATATTTGCACTAGTCCACAACAATGTAACCGTTCCAAGAGTTTTGAACGGTGCCGTTCTGAACAAACTCTACGAGAACAGAACAGCCGTTTGTACAGCACTTTGTACAAGGGTCGAAAGGTTGAAACTTTATGAGTTACTAGCAGACCGGTAGGACGGTTACAGATAAAGTTTTCTGCCTGCCTCTTAATGTTCTGTATGCCCTTGTACAAATAAACAGAAAAAACCTCATAACTTTTGAAAGAAGCAACAAGGACCTAGATGTTTTTACGGTTAATATAGTAGTCAAGTGAGAATATTCACTAGTGCAAATCATTTTTCTTTGAAATAGCTGTTTTAGAGGAGATCTGTTTCGTTAGTTCGAAAAATTGTACACATCTATTTTATTTTCCGTATATTTTCCATATGTTTTTAGTCCATATCTATTTTGTTTTGCATTTCATATCATCGTCACAAATCGTCACGTCATATAACTGATTTTATATCGAAGAGAAATTTATTTAATTTTATTTTCATGGCTGCTACATTTATAAAGAAATTCAAGTGTATAATTTCACGAATAATGTTGACTTACGGGAATATTAGAAAACTATAGACAGTTCGGATGAAAGCAATGTAGAATTATAATTTGTTACTTTTCTAAACTGAAAATGAAACGAAGTCAAAACCTTCTATCTTAACGATGATCTGTTGATCGCAGTTACAAACGAAAACAAGAGCCGTGATCGTCGAAATCTTTGTGTCATGAACCTACGTTAATGTGCCTTCCGTATCGCATTAACTGACATATCAAGTTCAGAATTCAAGAATCGTGAATTCTAAGGACGATTTCCTTTCTTCCTGAAAAGTTGCAACTTTTACCGGGTGCAGTTTGTTCTCTCATAACTCCGCTGCACTTCACTTTAAAAAAATTGTTTTCACACCGTTTGTAGAGAATTGAATGGGGAATCTTTTTAAAAAAAGTTTGAGTCGATAAGATAAAATCTGGCGGAGTTATAGGAAAAACAAAAAAAGTCCGGTTCTTTATGCGCCACCCGTTACAAGAGTACCAATCGGCGCCACCAAAAAGAAAAAGAAAGATTGAATGAAAGAATGAACAGATGGAAGTTATGTTTGAGCAGTCATAGACTCAGATGCACTCAGTTCAACTTGGAGTTATTATTTTTATCCTGTACATACAAATTTTTAAAAATTTGTATTCTTCGACTATCGTTGATGTACGTGTCCGAGAAAATCAATGAAAGAAAGTACAACCAAATCAATCTAAGATAGAAGAAGATATATCATTTTGTTTGTTTTTCTTTAAAGTATTGAAATTCAAAAGCAGTAAAATGTTTTTAGATGAACTCAGATTAAAGGCATCTGGGAATGAATTAATAAATTTATTCTCGAGTAATGGTTTATTTGGAAAGCTACCCAGTGAGTCACCTATATGTTTTGAAGTTCGTTTTAACGTGGTTTTAGCATTCATAGAGCGCGAGAATATACAATTTCACCATGAATACGGCGAATTTAATAATTCGCGAGAAACGCGTTTATGACCATCATAACTTCTTCAAAATGCGTTTTCAGTCGCAGTAGACTTCAAAACCCGTGAACGGCACCGAATTTTTAGCGTTTAGAACTCAATTGAAACGAATTTAACTCGTTTTGGCTAGAAATGAAATTTCGTTTCACGTTTTCAAAATTTATACGAGTTTTTCTTCTTTCTTTCAGCAGAACAGTTCTTTTTTTTTTCAACAGAATTTCTCGTGGTAAATTTTTCGTAAACAAAGTTTCGCGCGACATTTTGAAGCTAAGCTCGCGTTTTTTCACGCTTTTTTTAGATGACTCTGACTGACTGAGTACTTATTTTGGCGTAGAAATATTTTCAAGAATTTCTGAGATTGCCACTGGATTCCTCGCAAACATTTTTTATAAGCCACAGTTCGCTCTATGGAATCAGAACACACCGGTTCTAGGGGGTCTTTTAAAACTTAAGAAATAAACAAAACGTGTAAAACGTAACGAACTTATGTGCTAGTGCGCATATGGACCCACTTTTGGTATGACTTTGATTTTGCAAAAACTGAAATCTGATGGTAAAAATTGCAAAATACGAGTGCTTATGCTGCATTTTGCAGCTACTATCCGTTTCAAACTACAGTGCTCCTGACTATTTTTTGAATATCTCGAGAATGGAACGTGATAGGGAGTTCGGATTTTCACCATTCAAAAGAAGAGACTTTAGAACACATTTTCATAATAGATACTAATTCAACAATATGTTTTTAAAGAAGGTTTTCGAGGATGCCTTTGGAAAACCAACTCATAGCTCAAACACTTCAAGTGCAAATACTTTCGATTTTCTTCATGGACAGATAATCAAAGTGTCCTCTTTAAAATGGGGGTCAAGTGAGAGCTTGGTTTCCAGTGGTTCAAGCGTGGTATCCCATTTCCTTGGTACCTTAAGATAATCTCCTGTCACTAACTGCACTATGAAACGACTAAAAAGGTTTTTATTGGTTAATAAATTAATGTCCTTTACAAGAAAAATACAGGTACCGTAAACTGTTTCTCTAGCAAATAATACACTGACTGTTGTTTTTTGATATACATGCTACTTGCACTTCCTTGTGCAACTTTTGCATAGACAGAGAAAGTTGTGCGTTCTCTCGTTTTATTTCAGTGATTTCGGATTTTAGACTTGAGACAGATTCTTGTACCGATCGTTCGAGATTCTGAAGAAGAGATTGTATATTATTTTGTGCTAATTCAATGCTGACCTTAGTTGATGCAAGTCCTGTTTGCAATTTTTCGATAGACCTGGATAGTTGTGTATTCTGTTGTTTTATTAATTCGATGACTTGTTTGTGTATAGTTGAAGCATGTTCTTGTTGTAATTTTAAAGAGTTAGAAAATTCCACATTTTGTTGTGCTAATCGACTGACTTCGCTGGCAACATTTAATGCATAGTTTTGTTGCACTTTTCTCATAGACTGCAAATGTTGTGCATTTTGTTCTTTGAACTGTTGAATCTCACTACTTAAACCTTCATTTACTTTTTCTTTTATGAACTCCCAAATTTTCTGATAATTTGCATCAGCGGCTCCGATTTGTTTTGTTAATTCGTCTATTTCATTTCTCTGACTTTCAGTTTGTTCTTGAGTTAATTTTTTGGCGTGTCGTAGAACTTTTTCCTGAAATTGTTCATGCGAAAATATTCGTACTGGTTCAACGTAATTTGTTAAATGTGAAATTAAATTGTTTATAATAATATCCCGTTCTTCTTCGAATGTTGAACGAAATTCATTTCTTACTGTTGATATTTCAGGTAATGCTGCAATAAATATTTTTGATGCAACGCTAAATAGATCTTTCACAACTGGATGTTTTTTCATTTCATTAATATATGCGTCAATTTTTTCCGGTACAAGAGCGTCACAAAATGTTAATGCAATACAGATGTTTTCTGATTTATATCCAGCTGTTTTAAGATAATTAATTAGGTTCACTATACTATTATGTACATCAGGCAGAATGGGAGCTAATTTGAAACAGACAACAACGTGATTTATCAAATTAAAGTCAGATGAATAAAGTGCTCCTATTGTTTCAAATGTATCTTCATCTGAATACTTTGGATCATTTAAACCACGTGTATCACAAGCCTTAATGATAAATTTTCTTCCATATTGATCGTCATCATTCGGTGGTACTTCTACCAATGTTTGGTACGGTTTGAATAACATGTCAGATGATGACACATTACTTGTTGTTGTCTCAAAATTTGAACCTAATAAAGCTTTTAGGATTGTTGTTTTACCTAGAACAGCTATGATTTGAAAATGACAAGAATGTAGAACAAAATAACGAACCTGAATCAGTTAGTCCCATTACAAGTAATCGTACTTCATGTATCAACGTTCGCTGAACACCGCTTGCAGTTGTAACCATAGCAGCTTTTGTTGCTAAAAAAAAATGGTGCTGTTGGCTTCTGAAAGAAAGAAGCTGTGTGCAAGCGTCAAACAAGAATGTGTCTTGACACTATCACGATAAACTTATAGGAAAAGCTTGGGTATATTTTCGTAGTTAAAGATGAATTTATCTCTTCCGAACTCTTTAATTTGACGTTGTTTGCCAAACGTGTGAGAGAAAAGAAAAAACTAACAGAAGGACGAGAGAAAAGAATGACAAAAAAAAACACAAGACAGATGTACAGAAACAAAGATTGCGAGCAAATATTTCACCATATAAAGAAATATATAATAGCAACTCTT